AATACCTACCACTTGGATGCACCCTCAAGCATCCCTCCATTTCTCAAAGTCCAGATCCTAGTCAGGAAAGTTCAAATAGAACCAGAGTTCCCATCCCTTCCCAAGGCCTTCTGAGTTTCACTTTGTCTCAAAGATCCAGTCACCTACCCAGGTGACCACCATCAGGAATGTTCACTCCCTTTATTGGAGGCCATGCTTACCTTACTGGACATATCAGCATAATCACATCATTAAAATACAAGCCAATATTCATTCAGTGGATGCACACATAGTGGTACAAGGGATCTTTTAGTCCCAAAATTTATTGTAGGCAGAGGGAATCAAAATTGTAAAGACATAAAATCACAGAGAAAGTTAGGATATTGCAGGTAATTTCACATGGCTCGTGAACATGGTGCATTTGGCAGAATTGCAGAAGAGGCTGGAGCAGACCCTGAAGAATCATGGGTGCCAAACCAAAGTTGTGTTGACCCAGCACTCCCGGAACATAAAACTCGTGCACCAGTCCAACGGCTCTATGATTTGTGAAATCTATGGTCTATCAGAAAATCAGGCTGTACTTTAATGCCATAAATCTGTGTGAACAAAAATGCTTTTGTTACCCATAAACTGACACATGTTGTTGTTACGAGCCATTGAGTCATTTCCAACTCATAGTAATTCCACGTACAACAGAATGAAACACTGCCCGGTCCTGCACCATCCTCATAATCATTACTATGTTTGAGCCCATTGTTGCAGCCACTGTGTCAATCCATGTTGTTGAGGGTCTTCCTCTTTTTCGCTGATCTTCTGCTTTACCAAGTGTGATGTCCTCTAGGGACTGGTCCTCCTGATAACATGTCCAAAGTATGTAAGACAAAGTCTCGCCATCTTCCTTTCTAAGGAGCATTCTGGCTGTACTTCTTCCAGGACAGACTTGTTGGCTCTTCTGGCAGTCCATAGTATATTCAGTATTCTTCATCAACATCATATTTCAAATGACCTATTAAAAACAACATTTTTCAAGATTGTAAAAGTAAGAGTCGTTTGTAACATTACTGGAAATGGAGTGGGGGATATTTTTCTTCTGCCAGTTTAACATACTTTTAGTAATCGGTCTTAGTTTCTCTCATTTTCAGATTCCTTATTGTATTAAGGAGCCCTAGTAGTGTAGTGGTTAAGTGCTCGGCTGCTAACCACAAGGTTGGCAGTTCAGATCTACCAACCACTCCTTGGAAACCCTGTGGGGCAGTTCTACTCTGTCCTATAATGTCACGATGAGTTGGAATCAACTCGACGGCAGCAGGTTTGTTTGTTTTATTTTTTTGTATTAATTATCTATTGCTCTACAACAAATTACCTCAAAACTTAGCAACTGAAAACAGCAAATATTACCTCACACAGTTTCTGAGGGTCAGGAATTCAGTAATGGCTTAGCTAGTGGTTCTGGTGGAGGGTCTCATAAGACTACATCATCTAAAGACTGGGGCTGAAGGATCTGCTTCTAAGATCACTAATGTGCCTCTTGACAGGAGGCTTCACTCAGTTCTTTACTGGCTGTTGGATGGAGGCCTCAGTTACTTGCCATGTGAGTCTTTTCACAGGGCTGCTCACAACAAGGCAGCTGGCTTCCCCCGGAGCAAATAGTCCAAGAGAAAGAAAGCAAGATGGAAGCCACCGTGACTTTTATAACCTAATCTTGGAAGTGACATAGCATCATTTCTGTCATATTCTATTGGTCACATAGACAGTGTAGAGGGGGACTATACAAGATTGTGAATACCAGGAGGGTGGGGATTATTGGGGGCCATCTTGGAGGCTGGCTACAATTATGATGATACATATGATTTACCTGTAATATAGAGTTGAGAAGAGTTGAATACATATTTCACAGCATTTATAATGAAATATATTTTCTTTCAAAAAATGGAATGACATCATGAGAAAATTGTGTTTTAGTGTTATTGTCACATTATTAATTCCCTTCATTTAACCTATTATATTGCCAGAGTTTGGTAAAGTTTTGATAATTTGCATAGCATTTCTGAAGGACCATTTAAACAATTACAAAGGATTAACCAAAATGTCTGTCAAATCAATGGACATTAAAGATTGACAGCACCTTCTAGAGAGTAGTTCATTTAAGAAAAGTAAATTTGCTTTGTTTCCTCATGACAGCAACAATAACAAGGTAAAAATGAGCTATCATTTTCTTTTATTCCATGTTACTTCTTAAAACTTTTTGGGTATGTTTTAGACATCTTGAGAGCTCTGTTAAATGTTTACTTATATTAAAAGTCAAGTAGAAACAAATGTTGTAGAAGATAAAGATTTGTATAGAGTGAGCACTGACAAAATATTCCTGGACTAATATCTAAGATAACTTGCATTTCATGTTGCTACAAGTCAGAATATTCTAGTTCCTTAGAGTTAGTTCTGTAGAGCCAGGTTTTGGTAATGCCTTCCATCAGATACTATAATGAGCAGCCCTTTTAAGGTTAATTCTTACAATATGCTAACTACTCTTCACATTTTGGTGTCTCTAAAAACGTAGAAACACAACATTTTAGATCTGGAAAGATCCTTGGAATTTTTGATGTTAAAGTATTCCTTATTCTTGAAAGTTTGGAAATTACTGTATTCCATGGTGTTGCCTCCCCATGTTCTCTGTTTTACTTTTAAAAATCTTATTGAAACTTAGAACCTAGTGACACCGCAGAGCAGTGTTGAATCACTGATAATTATTCACTGAATATAATCTCCAGAGAAAGCCAATACTAGTTGATACACAGTGATCTCAAAGAGTAAGAATAGAAATCAAAGAAAGACATTGGTGAGACTGTGTTCTTTTGAAATCCTCCCCACCCCCACCACACACATACTTATGCAGTGATCAGTTAATAGTGCTTCTCTTTAAGTATTTAACTTCCTTCTTAAAAACAAGAAAGGTTAAGGTTAAAAGTCGGAGTCATGACAGGTATAGCACATACACACAAACACACATTCCATCACCTGTGTTTTGCTGATTCTTCTACAGGTTAAAGAGTTATGGCTTAGAGTCAAGATCATATTTACAAAGTTTAATTCTAAAGAATTTTGTTTTTCTTTTCATTTGGCTTTTGGAGTTAGAATACACTGCATAGAGCTAGTTTTAGCCAAGGATTACCCCAAGCATAAAACTAAGTCTTTTCTCTGACAATCCGTACCCGTTGCTGTCGAGTCGATTCCAACTCATAGTGACCTTATAGGACAGAGTAGAACTGGCCCATAGGGTTTCCAAGGAGTGGCTGGTAGATTCGAACTGCTGACCTTCTGGTTAGTAGCCGAGCTCTTAACCACTGTGCCACCAGGGCTCCTCTAATTTGCACAAGAGTTACTGGACTTTAGCCAAGGTTGAACCAGTCTTCGGTGACTTCTTGTTGTTAGGTGCTGTTGAGTCGGTTCCGACTCATAGCGACCCTGTGTACCACAGAATGAAACACTGCCCGGTCCTGTGCCATGCTCACAATCATTGTTATGCTTGAGCCCATTGTTGCAGCGACTGTGTCAGTCCATCTTGTTGAAGGTCTTGCTCTTTTTTGCTGACTCTGTACTTTACCAAGCATGATGTCCTTTTCAAGGGACTGATCCCTCCGGACAACATGTCCAAAGTATGTGAGACATAGTCTCGCCATCCTTGCTTCTAAGGAGCATTCTGGGTGTACTTCTTCCAAGAGAGATTTGTTCATTCTTTTGGCAGTCCATGGTATATTCAGTATTCTTCACCAACATCATAATTCAATTGAAGGCATCAATTCTTCTTTGGTCTTCCTTATTCATTGTCCAGCTTTCATATGCATATGCCAGGTCCTTCTTCCTAGTCTGTCTTAGTCTGGAAGCTCCGCTGAAACCTGTCCGCCATGGATGACCCTGCTGGTATCTGAATACTGGTGGCATAGCTTCCAGCATCACAGCAACATGCAAGCCCCCACAGTACGACAAACTGACAGACACGTGGGAGCATCAATGACTTAGCTAAGTTTTATTTCCTAAGTTTGATTTGCAATATTTTCCAAGTTCATTGACTAGAATATGCATATTTATGATAAGTTCTTCATAAAATCTGATTGCTTATTATTCAGTACTTTGTGATCTTTTAAATGTTTTAAATTCATATTTTGATTTTTATGTTACGATTGAATTTTTTTCATTTATTTTAATAATAAACGAATCTTCCTTGTTTTCTTTTATAAGAAAGTATTCTCCTACTTCTTTTTGTCCTTTTTTAATTTTTTGGTAGTTTTCTCCAATTCTTTATCATTTCTCTGCAGAGGATAACTACAAATTAATCCTCTAGGATACAGTTTTTCTTAGAGTGCAGTAATGTGAACATAACAGTTTATTAAAGTCTCCTTTCTAATTATTGCTTTTTTATACACGTTTTTAAAGCCAATTTCAGCCTCTAAAACTCTGGTCTTTTGGGGCATTTATTTTAAATTTTGTTTCTATATCTAATAAAGGGGTTGTTTCAGTTATCTATTCATGCATAACAAACTACCCCAAAACTCAGTGGTGTAAAATAATTGTTTTATTATTTCTCATAAGTCTAGGGGTTAACTGGGGCTCAGCTGGATGGTTCTTCTGCTGGTTTCACTCAGGCTCTCTCATGCAGCTGCAGTCAATGACATATGGGGCTGAAGTATCCACAATGACTTCATTCTGGCTTCTTGGTTGGAAAGCTAGGCCCAGCTGGGACACTGGGACAGCTGAGCCTCTCCTCCACATGGCCTGTCCATGTCATCTTTCCAGCAAAGTAGCCCAACTTCTTACATGACAGTTCTGGGCTTCCAAATGAGAAAAGTAGAAGCTACTAGACCTTTTTAAAGCGAAGTTCCAGAATCATTTCCACCACATTCTGTTGGTTGAAATGAGTCACAGGGTGAGCCTAGGTTCATTGTGGGAGGGAATATACAAGGGTGTGACTACCAGAAGGCATGGTTCATTGGGGTTCATCTCTGGAGACTGGCTACCCCAGGGGTTATATTTTCCTTTTCCTCAACTAAGACATCAATTCCTTTCTACTCCTTTTTCAGTTCCCTGTGTTTCTGATGGTTTGCCTAAACCTGCAAATAGCACTTTCTCATCCATAAACATGAAGAATGTCCTACAGTGGAATCCACCAGAGGGCCTGACGGGAGTTGAAGTTATTTATACTGTGCAGTGTTTCATGTAAGTTGGTTCTTTTCCCTTTGGCTAATTTATAAACACAAGACTCAGACTCCTGTTACTTGTACAGAGATAAACCATTTATGGTAGTAAGTGTTTGATAAAAAAAAAAAAAAAAAAGGAAAGTTTTAGATATTTCATGTTGAATTTTCTTACCATGTTTTGTTAGATTAAACTAGGAAAACTGTGGAGAAAGAAGCATTGGGCAGCAGGCAAAGGGAGCTTATTTAATAGAGAAAAGAAGTCAGTCAAAACATGCTGTGGATGAGCAAACAAGAAAACACATTGTCTCTAAAACTTAAAAGCCTACTGCAATTGCAGGCATTCTTAGACTTAGTGAAACTGAATGCAGAATGCTGTGCAGTTAGTTTCTTTTAAAGATAGCGGCGAATGGGCATTTTTACTTTTCACCTTTCTCTCAAAACTCATTGCAAGCCAGAAAGAATGCAAAGCAGATAGACAATGCCCATCTACAAAGAAACGAAGGAAATGGCCACAACCCCAAACCACAAACTATGAAGCACACGTGCCAAATACTGTGGGAGCTGAAGGAAAACAACCACAGAGGATGAATGCAAATATATACCTACTAGAACTTCAGCGGAGCCCTGGTGGCACAGTGGTTAAGAGCTCAGCTGCTAACCAAAAGGCTGACAGTTTGAATCTTCCAGCTGCTCCTTGGAAACCCTATAGGACAGTTCTAGTGTGTCCTATAGGGTCGCTATGGAAACTTCAACAGTAGAAATAAGACAACAGTAGGAGTAAGTAGATACTTACTTCATAAGTAAGGGAAGGCATACCCAACAATCTGAGAGTGTGGAAATTTAAGGATTTCTGCCACCAGGAATTGAAGAAATGTCCCTGTGGAGCCCCAGTTTGTGCCACAGAATGTAGAAGAGGGAGGAGCTGAAAGAGAAATCAGGATCAAGTGACATATCCATTGTAGATGCATAGTCAGAACCCAGGGACAAGCCTGGAGTGAGATGTATACAGGACGGAAAGGAGGTGACGATGGCTGGGAGGCAACCTAGAAAGCCTATGCCCTGACACGTGTGTTATGAGCTACATCAGCCTCCTGCAGCCCAAAACCTGAAGGCAGGCAAGCGTCCTGACAAAGGGAATGATAGATTTGGTGAGGGGGTGTTTACAAAAACACAAATGAAAATTGTGGAGAGCAAAAGCTCATTACATGACCCCCACTCCTATACTCATTCACCTAATATTCAACAAACAGCTGGCCCTATTCAAAGAGTAATCATCCATTAAAAGAGTAATCATCCCAAAGAAACCAGCACAGTACGTGTCTATAATTACTGAAAGGGGAAAAGAGGTAAAAAGAGTACTAGTAAAAGTTCCTGGAAAACTTGCCCATGGAAATAGCAGAAGAATCTAGACAAATAATTTTTCATAATTATAGAGTCCACAAACAAGATACTCTCTCTAAAAGTGAGGTTCAGAGAGGGATTCTGAGATGACAGGAAGAACATTGTTTTAAAAGCAAGTTGGCAGAGCTTAGGAAAAAATATTATCTAGAGATTAAAAATCTATTATAAGCTACCAAAAAATAGAGTAAACCTGACTGAAAACATAACCAGAGACACAGTAGACAGAATAGAAAAAAAATTCCAAAAAAAAGATAAAAATTATTCTAAACAAGGATTATAGATTAGGAGAAAATAAATGAAACAGAAAAAGACATTTTAAAATATAATGGGAGAAGCTTTTCAGTGATGATAATAATAGCCTACATTTATTGCATGTCTGCTGTATGCTGGGCACTGTTTTAAATACTTTACATAGATTATCTCAATCCTCCCAACAACCCAATGAGATAATTACTATTATTGTCCCTATTTTGGAGCCCTGGTGGCACAGTGGTTAAGAGCTACGGTGAGCTATGGCTGCTGACCAAAAGGTTGGCAGTTCAAATCTACCAGTCTTTCCTTGGAAACCCTATGGAACAGTTCTACTCTGTCCTACAGGGTTGCTATGAGTCGAAATTGACTCAACGACAACAGGTTTATCCCTATTTTACTCTGAGAGATAGGACATTTAAGCCGTTACCCAAGATCATACACTTAGTAATGGTTAAGCAGGTAGTGAAGAATATCTGAAGCTGCATATCATAAATACATGCTTTGCCTAGAAATTTTTTTTATTGTACTTTAGATGTACTTTTACAGAACAAATAGTTTCTCATTAAAGTTAGTACACATATTGTTTTATGACAATGGTTAACAACCCCACAGCATGCCAGCAGTGTCCCTTCCCAACCTTGGGTTCCCTATTACCAGCTTTCCTGTCCCCTCCTGCCTTCTAGTTCTTGTTCCTGGACTGTTGTGCCCCATTGGTCTCATTTTGTTTTATGGGGCTATCTAATCTTTGGCTGAATGGTGAACCTCAGGAGTGACTTCATTACTGAACTAAAAGGGTGTCCGGGGGCCATACTCTCAGGGTTACTCCAGTCTATGTCAGGCCAGTAAGTCTAGTCTTCTTTTGTGAGTTAGAATTTTCTTCTCCATTTTTTCCAGCTCTGTCTGGGACCCTCTGTTGTGATCTCGGTCAGAGCAGTCAGTGGTGGTAGCTGGGCACCATCTAGTTGTAGTGGACTCAGTCTGGTGGAGGCCGTGGTAGTTGTGGTCCATTAGTCCTTTGGACTAATCTTTCCCTTGTATCTTGTTTTCTTCATTCTCCCTTGCTCCCAAAGGGGAGAGACCAATGGAGTATCTTAGATGGCTTTTGCCTAGAAATTTTTAATAGAAACAGTAGAAAGACATATCCTGGCAAAGTTACTGAACATTAAAAAAATGAAGTAATTTCATGGCCATGCTAGCAAAAGCAGAATACAAGTGAGGAAAAATGGGGAAGGAGGAAGATTTCTGTCTGGCAACACTCAGTAATAGAAGACAGTATTATAACAGCTTATGAGGGAAAAACAAGTGTGACCTTAGACTCATCAAATTGAAGAGACACGTATTTTCAAGCAGGTGGGAACTCGGGATATCACTCCCCTGAAACCTTGAGGGGGTAGGCTACTGATTAAAAACGATATCCAGCTGTCAGAGAGATGAAGATGACCATGAATGAAGAATTTAGTAACGACAAAGTTTTGTCAGAATGACTGGTAACATGCTTTGAATCTATCTAAATACGGAACTAAGACTAACCAGTGATGGGAGCTGTGGTTATAGAGCTCCATGTAAATGTTTGAACTTAAACAGTAATATATCTAACAAAATCAGAAAAGTAGAACTGTATTAGTTTTCATAGCAGGAGGCCATTAGATGTGATCTAAAATGAGAATATTTCATTGTTTTAATAACCAAACTCAGTATTTTTCATAAACCATTTTCCTAATTTAAAAGATGATTTAAGAACCGATACCTCTTGTGGTGACAAGATATCTGAACTTCAGAAATTTCTTTAACTTTTTTTTTAATTAAACTTTTTTTTACTTCAGCTTCTTTTTTTAAATTAAAGTTTAAATCAAGTGTAAGACTTACTAAAGCCACATCTGTAGTATCATCTAATATCTGTCCATCTGTTCAGCTGTCTAATCATCCCTCTACATATAAGCATGTCCGTATGTCCAGAATCACGTACACCAAATGTTTCAGGGTGATGGATTTCAGAGTGATTTTTTTTCTCTCCTGACTGTATTTCTCTGAACGTTTTGATTGTTTCAATGAAAAAACATGTGCCATGTTTATGAAAACAATAAAGTCATTTTTTACTTTGGGGAAAAAAAAAGAATTCTGACTACTAAACCCAGTGAAAGACTTCAGCTGCTATTCTAGAACCTCATTCTCGTTTCCACAGAGTTTCTCAGGAGACCATGTTGTAGGAAGAAAGACATCACTGCAGTAGGAAATGGCTCCCAATTATGTCCTCACCTCCTCTTCCATTAGGTGGAGCAAAGAGCTTGCTCTGTCCTTCATATGTTTATGTGATTCAGAAAGAAAAAACAAATTGGCCTAGTCAGAACTGCTATGTGAGAGTAGATTAATTTAAATTGTGCAACTTTTTAAAAAAGAGTATTTAAAAAGAAGCTTGCCATGTAGGCGTTCTTACGTGTCTGCGCATGTGGACACTGTGCAGGAACACAGGGAGGTGGATTTCACTGCCAGCGGGCTCCCAGCTCAGGTTTGTGGTCAGGAAGTCCTCGGTTCAGAGCCAGGCTGTGAACCTAGCTGTACAACCTTGGAAAGGTTACATATTATATTTATACTTTTTGTGAAGTGTATTTTCAAGTAGAAAATACAATTTTAACAAATGTTTAAATTATACCTGTAAATGAACTTAATACAGAAAATATAGGGTAGCACTAAGAGCACAGGCTTTGGCATCAGGGAACCCTGGTTCAAATCCCAGATATGCCTTTTACTAGACATGTGAACTTGAGCAGATCCCTTAATCTTGCTGAGCCTCAGTTCCACATCTATAAAATGGGATGAAAATAATGGTACTTACTTCTTAGGGTTGTTATGATAATTAAATGAGATAAAGTATGTCAGCCCTAAGTACCTATCCCAGCACATAATAGGCACCTGGTAAGTGTTTTTTATTATTACCAGAAAACAGAGACCATTGAGGACCCCACATGACTTTTTGCCACGCATAAGCATCTTTTCTAGAATGCTTGTTGAATGACTTAGTTCTATCAATTTGTCAGACCTCCTAAGCATTTTATACTTAATACAGTAAAGAGCATTTTCTCCTTCATCAGCGTCTGTCATGGGAAGCTGCCCTGCCCCTCACAGTTTGAGGAGGGAAGATCAGATAAGCTATGGCAACATTTTTCAAACCACAAGTCAAGACCCATTGATGGGTCATGATATCAATTTCAAGGGACATAACTAGCATTATTTTTAATGGAGTGGTATGGAATAGAATGGAGTAGAATGGAAAATAGCTAAGTGCATGGCATGTAATAAAGTTTGTGTACTGTAAAACTTTTGTTTATAGTATGGGAGATATATGTATATTTTGTGAGCTTCATCACA